TACGCACAAGAACTTGATTATGATTGTTCACTTCGTATGACAGCTATATGATATAATGGCACGATCTAGAAAAATTCTTCAGATATTGTAGCGGTGTCGTAATAATTTGTGTTAAGATAATTATTGATATAAAAAGAGTTTTTCATTCTTTTACTTTTGGTTATTCAGTTCAAATAAGCAGTTTCTTGAGGAGTAAAGTACGAAAGCAAAGTTACAGAGTGACATCGTGCATGTCTCTCTGAACGGACACGGCTAAATATACTCCGCGCGTAACGCTGATCAGGACATAATTATGTTTTTTTCAAGAAGACAGTTAAAAATGTTTAAGTAATTGAAGTAATTGACTACAAAGGGTGCTGCTTTCGCAGTATAGAATTTCAAAGAGGCTGTATAATCAGTTGCTAAAGCAAGCATTGATATTAAGTGTTTTTCTTTGGCATTTATGTCAGCATATTTTGACGGATTGGCTTGCAAAGACTAAGAATCAACATTTTCACAATTTATTTCAAAAACTTGCATTTTATGTGCAAACCTGTGTTTCAATTTCACAACTTCTTCAATTCATTTTATTACTTCTTCTTCTTTATTGATGGGCACCGCTTACGCGATTATAGCCAATAATGCGAATTACTACTTTTAATGGTTAGTAAACATACATTATTTTATACTCACTTTGACGTGTTCTGGGTGTCAACCTACACTCCTCTAAACATATACCCTTTATAATTTGTGCTTACTTTTCTAATAGATGGATGACCAAAATTTTTCTTCTTCTCTTTGCTCGTTAAATGTACTTAAAACTATTTKCTTTTCTTTCAAGYCSAAYTTGAAGGGTTAAGATACTTCAGGAGTAGATTTTTTGCATAGCAGTTATGTAAAATTTTTAATATCGTCTGCAACAGTGCAACGAACTTTTTCATACATCGAAATATSGTCACTAACTTATTATCTAAGGCCACAGTGCAATCTGCGAAGAAATTCTTGGGATTGAGCCACTATATACTATACTAGGCATCGAAGATAGGAAGAAAAGTTATGAAAATACGGAAATTTCATCTACTGAGTTGATCAAGGGTTTTGGTTTGAATTTTTGCATTATAAAAGTGCAAAGGAAACATGAACATCTGGTTTCAAAAATTGTGTCTTAAAAAAAAGAGCTATGATTTCCATTGCGTAAAGAAATAAGAACGATTGGGATTTAAGTGTGCCATGCCCAATCCATAAAAAAGGAAACCCCACAATCTACGCCAACTACCGAGGAACATCGCATATAAGGTTCCATCGAACGTATTGCGTGAAAGATTAAAGCCCACCGTCAACAATTTGATTGGAACTGTAGCTTGAGACCTTGCAAATCAACAATCAAACGCATTCACCATGCGTCAAGTCTTGGAAAAGACCCGTGAAAGGGGAATCGACACACACCACCTCTTTGTCGATTTCCAAGCTGTTTTCCACAGCACGAAAAGGAACTGTCTTTATGCTTAATACGGCTATGTAAACTGATGTTGAGCAGCACCAAAAGCTCCGTCAGAATCGGGAAGGACCTCTCCGAGCCGTTCGATACCAAACGAGATTTCAAGACAAGGCGACTCCCTATCGTGCGATTTCTTCAACCTGCTTCTGGAGAAAATAATTAGAGCTGCAGAACTATATAGAGAAGGTACAATCTTCTACAAGAGTGTACAGCTGCTGGCGTATGCCGATGATATTGATATCATCGGCCTCAACACCCGCGCCGTTAGTTCTGCTTTCTCCATACTGGACAAGGAAGCAAAGTAAATGGGTCTGACAGTGAACGAGGGCAAGACGAAATATCTCCTGTCATCAAATAAACAGTCGTAACCTTGAAGTCATAAATAATTTCATCTTTCTTATAACTAGGGTAAACACCACCAACAACGTCAGCCTGGAAATCCAACGCAGGATAACTCTTGTCAACAGGTGCTACTTCGGACTGATTAGGCAATTGAGAAGCAAAGTATTCTCTCGACGAACAAGATGAGATATACTATATGACGACATTGACATAGTTCAGMGAATTAAAAGACAGCGGCTACGCTGGCTAGGTCATGTTGTCCGAATGGAGGAAAACACTCTTGCTCTGAAAGTATTCGACACWGCACCCGCCGAGGGAAGCAGAGGAAGAGGAAAACCTCCACTCCGTGGGAAGGACCAGGTGGAGAAGGACCTGGCTTCACTTGGAATATCCAATTGGCGCCACYTAGCGAAAAGAAGAAACGACTAGCGCGCTGTTGTTAACTCGGCCATAATCTCGTAATCGGTGTATACGCCAATTAAAAGGAAGCAGAAAAAAAAAATAGAGTTTGCAAAACAATATCTAAATATGCCAACCACATTCTGGGATGAAGTACTTTTGTCCACGACACACATTTTGCTCGGCCACTAGCAT